GGAGGCGGCGGAGGACCCCGCGGCGCGGAGCCGCCCCGCGCCGCCGCCCGGACTCACCTCCCTTGGGCAAGGCGGGAGAGGAGGAGGCGTCGGCCGGCTTCGGGCCCGGACTGTGCTGGGCTTTCTTCGGCTGAGGCAGGAGGGAGGACTGGCGTTTGGGGGTCATGGCGCGGAGGAGAAGCCGGAGGCGAGCCCGACGCTGCGGACCCACGGCAGGCTGCGAGCGGCGCGAGAGCGTCTCCAATGGCCCCGGGCCGCCCTGCCCGCCGGGGACCCCGCCGCCGCCGCCCCGGCCCCCCGCCCCGCGCGCCCTCCAATCAGGAGAAAGTTCTTTGAGTCGCTCCGAACTTCTCTCCGCGGGGAGGGGGGGGAGGGGACACTCGGCACTGGGGAGGGGGAGGGGATCTGCATCTGAAACTCCAGCACCCCCTTTTCCCTTTCTGGGTCTCAAATCCCCCCCTCAGTGGTCAGTCCCGGCCCCCTGGAGGGAGAACTTCCCTCCTTTTATGTTTATTTTTTTATTTTTTTTCTTCCCTCTTCCTTTGGTCTGCAGAACACTTAAGTGCCAGGCCCCTCAACTTACTCTAGAACATTCTTCCATTATCCCCAATCTCCCCCACCCCCCAGGTCTGGTTTACTCCTCAGCCTCTAGGTGCTTACTTGAAGGGATAGGAAAATTAAAAAAGGGGGAGGGGTTCCTGATTAATAATTCTTGCTACTCAGGAGGCTGAGATCTGAGGATTGAAGTTCAGAGCCAGCCCAGGCAGGAAAGTTGGTGAGACTCTTATCTCCAATGAACTACAAAAATAAAAATAATAATAAAATCTGAAAGTGAAGCTGGAGTGGAGTGGAACAAAGCTCCAGGAAAGCACTCAGGCCCACAACTTAGTCCCCAGGATCCGCACCAAAAACAAACAAAAAAGGTACTGGGGGTGGAGTGCAGGATTTGAGAAGAATTGAAATACAGATTCATTTTTCACTCATTACAGAAAACAACATGGAGGTGAGCTAGGCCCTATTGGCTCCCGCCTGTTATCCTACTCAAGAGGCAGAGATAGGAGGATTATGGTTCAGAGCTAGGAGGATTTTAAACCAGTCCCAGCAGGAAAATCTGTGAGACTCTTTTTTTTTTTTTAGTCGGTGGTGGGGTCTGAACTCTGGGCCTGGGCGATGTCCCTCAGCTCTTCAGCTCAAGGCTAGCACTTTACCACTTGAGCCACAGCGCTACTTCCAACTTTTTCTGCTTATGTGGTGCTGAGGAATCGAACCCAGAGCCTTATGCATGCACTGAGCCACCTTCCCAGCCCCTATCTGTGAGACTCTTATCTTCAATAAATTATAAAAAAATAAGAATAAATAAAGTTAGGGGGAGTAGGGGGGAGATGGGAAGGGATGGGAAGGGGAAACAAAGGAGGAGGCAACAGTGCTTGATAAGAAATGTACTCATGAGGGCTGGGAAGGTGGCTCAGTGGTAGAGCGCTTGCCTTGCATGCCTGAGGCCCTGGGTTTGATTCCTCAGCACCACATAAGCAAAAAGAAAAAAAAAGCCGGAAGTGGCGCTGTGGCTCAAGTGGTAGAGTGTTAGCCTTGAGCTGAAGAGCTGAGGGACAGCACTCAGGCCCAGAGTTCAGGTCCCACAACTGGACCAAAAAAAAAAAAAAAAAAAACCATGGCAAAGAAAGAGAGAGAAAGGCTGGGAAGGTCGCTCAGTGCTAAAGTGCTTGCCTTGCATGCATGAGGCCCTAGATTTGATTCCGGAGCACCACATAAGCAGAAAAAGCAGGAAATGGCGCTGTGGCTGGTAGAGCACCAGCCTTGAGCTGAGAGCTGAGGGATTTCGCCCAGGCCGAGTTCATGCCCCATGACCAGCAAGAGCGAGAGAAAAGGGAAGGAAGGAAGGGAGGTAGGGAGGAAGGAAGGAAGGGGAGAGAAAGAAAAAACAAAGCATAAAAATGACTATGTGGCCGGGCGTCAGTGGCTCATGCCTGTCATCCTAGCTACTTTGGATACTGAGATCTGAGGATCGAGGTTCAAAGCCAGCCCAGGCAGGAAAGTCCATTAAACTCTTAACTCCAATTAACCACCCAGAAAACCAGAAGTGGCACTGTGGCTGAAGTGGTAGAGCACTCACCTTGAGCTTAAGAGCTGAAGGACAGTGCCCAAGCCCAGAGCTCAAGCCCCACAACCAACAACAAAAAAAGAAAACAATGCCTGGCTCACCCCTGTAACCTCAGAAGGCTGAGAGCTGCAGATTGTGATTTGAAGCTAGCCTAGGGAAGGAAAAGCCAGGAAAATTTTTTTCCAATTAAGTACCAAAAAGGCAGAAATGGAGCTGTCTCAGGTGGCAGACTGCCAGCCTTGAGCAGAGAAAATCAAGAGGCAGTACCCAGCCCCTGAGTTCTAGCTCTAGTACCAGCATAAACACAAAGAAATCCTAGAAGGACTTTTTTTTTTTTTTTTGTAAGTCCTGAGGTTTGACCAAGGGCCGGTTCACTGTCTCTTACCATTTTTACTCAAGGCTAGCACTCTACTACTTGAACCACATCTCCACTTTTAGCTATTTGGTAGTTAATCGGCAATCAGAGTCTCATGGACTTCCCTACTTGGGCTGGCTTCAAATCCTGATCCTCAGATCTCAGCCTCCCAAGTACTTAGTATAAGCATTATGCACACCTTTGGTCCTCAGCTCCACCCAGGCTTGAGCTCCTCCAAGCCCTGGAGTTCCTGCCATACAACTGACCATTCATTCTCTCTCCACTCAGACCTACCTGAGCACCCACTTACCTTACTTCCTGCCCCCCAGACTCCCCTGCTACCTGGTTTGGGACCCACATCATATGCTCCCTCTCCTGGGACATATGGCTCCTTTAATAAACTTTATAATAATCTTTTTCCTGTACCTGTCTGCCTCTGTGTGGTCCCCTGGGATGGATGTGAAGGATCCTTCATGTAGAATTTCAGGTGACGACAGCCAGCATCTGGCTGGAGAGCTTTTATTTAAGGGCAAATAAGGTATTCCTAACAGCTAACCAGAGGCTGACAGAAGCACGCTGAAGACTCTGTTCAGTCTACCCACGCTGAGTGTATCCAAAGCCTGTGACCCCTCAGTTGCCCTCCTGGCTGTAACTCCAACAGATATGCTTAACAGGTACACGCGTGCACCACTGGGTTGTGATAAATGTGTTCAAGAATGTGCCTAGCAGCAAGATTCCTAGGGCCCAAACCTGGAAACAATACAAATGTCTGTCCCCAGTAGAATGAATACATTGTAAGATATTCATACAAAGGAACAGGGGAAGCAGTGGGAATAAATGAACTGCAGTTTACACAGAAAGATCTGAATGAGGCCTGCATATAGAAACGTCCAGTGCAAGAGACACAAAATAGTAACTACTATATGATTTCATTTGTATCCCTGTAAAAACAAGCAAAACTGCCAAGGCCAAAGTGGCTCATGCCTGTAATCTTGAGCTCTTCTAGAAGCTGAAATCTGAGAATTGAGGTTTGAAGCCAGCCTTAACAGGAAAAGTTCTGGAAATAGAGCTATGGTTCAAGTGGTGGAGCCTTGAGCAAAAAAGACATAGCATGCAGGCCCTGAGTTCAAGCAACAGCACCAGCACATGCACAAGCAGGCACATGCGTACACACACACACACACATATTGCAGCTGAGAGTAAACCACCTGCCAGAGAACCAGTGCCCTTACCTGCCCATATAGAGGATGTGTGTCACAGAAAGGGGAGATTGAGGACCTCAGAGGTCCTTCTACGGTTCATGCTGCGGGTCCCCTGCCTGCAACTCATGGCAAGATGCTTCCTAAAAGAAAAGACTCAGCAACAATCTAACAACTTTTAAGGCTTCTGGGAAAAAGGCCACATCTATCACTGGAAAAGAAAGAAGGAACTAGAACTAAGGTGAAAGAAAAATGGGAAGTCTGAAACCATGGGGTCAGGACATCCCATTTCACAGAAGAGAGTGCCACAGCCCAGCTCCAGAACGACTCCAGAGGAGCCCAGGAGCTCCAGTTCGACCTGCTGGGCAATGACAGCATGGAGAAGGGCTTTATTGCTTGATGTGTTATAATGTTAAACTTTGGATCTTAGGAGCATATGACTTTAAAATGAACATGTTCCGGAGGCTAAGATCTGGAGGACTGAGCCAGCCAGGGTAGAAAAATCCGCTAGACTCCATCTCCAGAATTAACCAGTCACAAGTAGGGTTGGATGGCTGGCTTAAATGGAAAATGCTGGCTGAATGATAAAGGGCAAGGACATCAGTTCAAACCCCAGTGCTGGGGCTGGGAAGGTGGCTCAGTGGTAGAGTGCTTGCCTTGCATACATGAGGCCCTGGGTTCGATTCCCCACTACCACATAAGCAAAAAGAAAAAAGCCAGAAGTGGCACTATGGCTCAAGTGGTAGAGCGCTAGCCTTGAGCTGAAGAGCTGAGGGACAGCGCCCAGGCCCAGGGTTCAGGCCCCACAACCGGACCCAAAAAAAAACAAAAAACCCAGTGCTATTACTAAAGGAGAGAGAAAAAAAAAAAAAAGCCTGGCGCTGGAGGCTCACACCTGTAATCCTAGCTACTCAGGGCATAGATCTGAAGATCATGGTGGAAAGCCAACCAGGGCAAGAAAGTAAATGAGACTTCTCTTCAGTTAACCACCAGAAAACTGGAAGTGGTGCTGTGGCTCCTAGTGGTAAAGAGCTAGCCTTGAGCAAAAAATAGCTCAAGGAGGGGCTTGGAATGTGGCTCAGTGGCAGAGTGCTTGCCTAGCATATATGAGGCCCTGGGTTGAATTCCTCAGTCCCACATAAGCAGGAAAAAGCAGGAAGTAGCGCTGTGGCTCAAGTGGTAGAGCACTAGCCTTGAGTTTGAAATGCTGAGGGACAGTGCCCAGGCCCAGAGTTCAAGCCCCATGATCGACCCCCCCAAAAAACAACAACAATTAAAAAAAAAAAACTAATGCTCTTCCACTTGAAGTACAGCACCACTTCTGGTTTTCTGGTAGTTTATTGGAGATAAAAGTCTCACGAACTTTCCTGCCCGAACCACAATCCTTACATCTCAACCTCCTCAGTAGCTAGGATGACAGGCATGAGCCACCAGTGCCCAGATCCCTTAATTTTATTCTGCTTATGTTGGTGCTCTATCACTTGAGATTCATCTCTAATTCTGGCTTTTTGGTAGTTAATTGAAAATAACTTTTTGTTTTCTTTGGGTCCGGTCATGGGGCCTGAACTCTGGGCCTGGGCGCTGTCCC